ATGTGTGTAATATATATATATATTATTATTTATATATTATATATATATATATATATATATATATATATATATATATATATATATATATATATATATATATATAGTTAAGTAACGAAAATGTTGGTAATCTGTATGAATAATCCCAAGGAGGATGAAATCTTTAGAGCCAATGTTAATACAGAGCGAATAATTTAATTTAAAAGAAAAAACAGACCACTTTTAAGGCTCCATAGTAATAATTTATTTCACCAGAAACTTTTATTTTCCCTGGATCTTCAGACATCACTTTCAAAAGAAGAAACAAAAAAATGAAATTAAAATTTACACTTTTGACGGGCAGTATTAAGCTTATATATATATATATATATATATATATATATATATATATATATATATATATATATATATATATATAAAAAAAAAGGCTTAAACACTAATACTCCATGGTCATAATTTATTCCATTGGAATCGTAAATACGATCCAATTCATCAGACCTACAAATTCAAAAAAAAACAGAAAAAACAACTCCGGAAATAAAACAGAATTTAGAGAGTGTAAGTATGAGAGTGTGGTACGAATGTTAGAGTTAAAGAGAGTATGTATATTTACCACTAATTATATATATATATATATATATATATATATATATATATATATATATATATATATATATATATTTCAATGATATTTTTACTAAAATATTTTACATTGCGACACGGAAATTTCTATGTTTCGAGACTTAAAATTTTCAGCTCTTCGTCAGACAATGTTCAGTAACTTTTTGATGAAAATGATTTACATTTGAAAATAGAAAACAATATGTTAGTTTATCAAAGATGGAGGGGAGGGAATCCATATTTTAAAATCTTATGGGTATGTCTCTGTTTAACTAATCAAAAGAAAAGTCAAAGCTAAATCAGAAAAGTTAAAAATATAGGTTAGATGTTGGGGTGGGGGGTTGTGGTATGCATACATGTCTTGGAGAATTGTCATATTACGAGTTGACAACTTACTTCCGGTTAAGAGTATCCATTTAAATTCCGAAGCAATATTCTGAAAGATATGCATATCTCTGACAATATGTTAATTTTTATTTTTTTTAAATTATTTTTACAAAATCTTTAGAAATGTCTTAAAGAGGCCACTGGTATGATTAAATAATTTTATATATATATATATATATTTGAACCTAAAATACAATTCTTATTTAATTAACTTAATATATGGCAATTTTAAATGAAAAATCAATGAATTAAATCAATATTACATGTACCATAATATATAATAAAATAATGGATATATAATTGAAATACATAGTTTTTATGAAAATTCATTAACTATATTTTAACGTGAACATTTTACAATGTCTACATATGACTGTAAGTTCATTTCGCTGATTTAAAAAAATCAATATTTTAGGAAACTTAATAATATGTAGTTTTTCATGTAGACACAGGGGGCATGAGTCATTTGAGGTCTTACAAATTGTTTTTTTAATATTTTCCATATACAGTGTGACCATAAAGTTCATGTGCGCTTTCAAAAATTTATAACTTTATTTGTATTTGCGATAGAAATAATTTGTAAAAAGGATTAGAAAGAAGTAAATCTATATTTTTTAAGGTTTTATTGAAATTTTATTTAAGTTTCCACATGTTCTCCATCATTAGCAATACAAAGGGTAATACGATTTTGCAGTTCACGGAAAACATTTGCCAACTGATTTACAGTAATGCCTGAAATCACATTATTTTAGCTATACTCAAAACTCGGTACATTAAACTTCATAACATTTTTCACAGATTATTTCTATCGCAAATACAAATAAAGTTATAGATTTTTAAAGTGCACACGAGCTTTATGGACACCCTGTATGTATATATATATATATATATATATATATATATATATATATATATATATATATATATATATATTATTTCAGGATTATTTTCCAACTTACTCAAGATGATCTTCGCCCTCCAACCTTCTGTTCTGAGTAACAGGGTGCCTCAGTGTGCGATTTTATTTTCAAGTCTTTTTCACTGCTCTTTGGATTGTCATAGCTGAAACTCCTCTCTCACATGCCAAAAGCCTTGTGGATTGTGTTGGATCTTTTCTAATTGATGTTTTTAGCTCTAAGTTGAAATGATGACCCTCTTGCTGTTGTGACCTCATGATCCAGTTTTCCTCTCAACTGTCCTCTCTTTTTTAAACTTATTCACTGTTCTCTTGAACGAGATGCATTTGAAGGTGAAAGCCAGAGTATGAATGTCCGTACTATTACTGAATGCCTGAATAATCTTTTTCCTCTCGCCATTGCTCAGTTGGTAAGACAGTGGGGATGACACAAAACAATTTCAACCTGTTCTCTTTCTATCTGAATAACTGAAAGGATTTCTCACAGATTCTTACAGCAAACAGTATCTTATCTGAGAACCTGGAAAAAGAAACGCAATAATTTTTTTTTTTTATTTTTTTTTTTAGATATTAAGCATTTTGTATGATGGAAAATTAGGCTGTTACTTGATTTGGATAATTTTGTTATTATACCAGTATATATCAGGTCATCCCATAAGTTCTGTCCGAATTTTAACTTTTTATTAAAATGAACAAAATTTAAAGAGTATTTTATAATGTCTAACGGAGCTGAACATTATTTTTATGTTTAGATGCATTTAAACTGATCAAATTTTATTTCAGAGAACAATAAAATTAAATTTTGTTTGATTAAAACTCTGCTAACATGGAAGTACCCAAGTATCATTTGAGGCACATAATGCTTTATGAGTTCAAGAAAGGAAACTCAGCAGCCGAAGCGGCTAGAAACATTCACTCAGTTTATGGAGAGGAATGTGTGCATGAAAGAACTTGCAGAAGATGGTTTGCAAAATTCAGAGGTGGAGATTTCACCCTTGAAGATGAAGATCAAACCGGACGTCCAGTTGAGTTTGATGAAAAGCTTCTTGAAGCAGCTCTTGAAGAAAATCCTGCTTTATCAGTTGAGGAATTGGCAGTGGTTCTCAATTCAAATCATACAACTGTTCATCGTCATCTTCAACAATATGGAAAAGTTCCTAAACTTGGAAAATGGGTGCCTCATGAATTGTCTGAAAACAACCTCAAATCCTGAGTTGACATCTGCTCTTCTCTCCATTCTCGCCAACTTGTTTCACCTTTTTTGGATAGACTTGTGACTGGTGGCGAAAAATGGATATTTTATCGAAATGTTAAGCATCGTAGACAGTGGCTTGGTAAAGGGGGAGGACCCCAGCCACAGCCGAGAAGGGAACTTCATGGGCAAAAGGTTCTTCTTTCAATCTGGTGGGATCGCCAAGGAATAATCCACTTTGAATTCTTACCACCTAATGCAACAATTAATGCTCAAATATAGTGTCAGCAATTAGAGCTTTTGAACCAAGCTTTGAGGAAAAAAAAGACCTGCTCTAGTGAATCGAAAAGAGGTGATGTTTCATCAGGACAATGCGCGACCCAACACAGCAAGAATCACGTTACAAATGATCGAAGAACTTGGTTGGGAGAAAATTCCTCATCCACCTTATTCTCCCGATCTTGCTCCTTCAGACTACCATTTGTTTCGTAGCTTACAGAATCATTTGGAAGAAACAGCTTTTGTAACACAGGAAGAGGTTAAAACTGGTATTTGTGAGTTCTTCGAATCAAAACCAAATGAATTTTACAGTAATGGAATTAGTAAGCTTGTTAATAGATGGAAGGAAGTCATAGATAATCAGGGAAATACAATGTTGATTGAATTTGTAATTAAATGTAACATTTGGTCACTTGTTTTCTTTATTCAAAATTCGGACAGAACTTATGGGATGACCTGATATAAAGGTGGTGGATTTTTTTTTAATCCGACAGATTATTTTATTACTTAAACGTTATTTTGAGAGGATACTCGTATTTGAGTAGACGCTCTGTTTATTTATTAAACTCTGTATTTATTTATTTTCGTCTACCGGCCTAAATATCCGAGAAATCTTATTAGAGAAAAAGATGCGCTCTCTGGCAGAATTCGAACCTGCGTCAATGACCTTGAGAACAATGCGTGTTTGTCGTTCTTTCAGCTATTCTATTCCGTCTGCGATATATTACCGATGTACTAATGTCTAGAATGGGGAACTACAAACTGGAAATAGCCATCAATCTTCTGGCGACCCAGACGTGATAAGAAATACGTCAGTATATCAAAGAAATTGTGGGGAAAATAGCCAAATTATATGAATAGAAAATAATAAATTCTTTAGGAATTTCAAATCGAAATCATCTAAATTTAAAGGTTAAAAAATAATAAAAACCAAACAAAATAATTCAGCCCTAGGCAACATCATCCAGTCATGATCACATAATATCTGAGAGAAAAGAATGAAATGTTTATGAAAATTTATTCGTCTGTAGTCTTTGATTTATCACGATGCATTTTGATTCGTAAAGTCTTCCATATTCTCTAAAGGGCCAAAAATGGCTGCAGTGACAGCAATCGTCACTAGGGAAACCGTGAAAATGTTGCCTAGCATCAAGTCTGTAAGATTAATTATACCGACCATGAGGCAAAAAATAAACATTACTATTATTATTATTAGTAGTAGTAGTAGTAGTGGTGGTAGTATTAGTAGTAGTAGTAGTAGTAGTAGTAGTAGTAGTAGTGGTAGTAGAAAAACGAAAAAGAAAAAAAAGATGATGAACAGCAACAACAAAAATAACAGCGAGACATGGTGCGAATTTTCAAATGCATGAATAAGAGAGAGAGAGAGAGAGAGAGAGAGCGGCACAGAGAGAGACAGGAACAGAGAGACGGAAAGAGAGGTGGAGAGAAAAAGAGAATATAGGAAAAAGTAATTATAAGAAATAATAATGGATGGTTAATATTTTTAAAAATGAATAATTCTCTAATTCTTTACTACCTATCAGCCATATTTATTCTGATGTTTCTACACAAACCAATTCATATAAACTTTGACTATTAATGAACAAATTAAGATAGATAGATAGATAGATAGATAGATAGATAGATAGATAGATAGATAGATAGATAGATAATGAACATATTTAGATAGAAACAAGCAAACAAACGAAAATAGATAGATAGATAGATAGATAGATATGAACACATTGAGATAGATAGATAGATAGATAGATAGATAGATAGATAGATAGATAGATAGATAGAAAAAGCAAACAAACGGAGATAGATAGAATGAAAAGATTGAGATAGATAAATAGATAGATAGATAATGAACGTATTTAGATAGAAAGAAACAAGTAAACAAACTGAGATGGATAGATAGATAGATAGATAGATAGATAGATAGATAGATAGATAGATAAGATAGATAGATATGAACAGATCGAGAAAGATATAAACAGATCGAGATAGATAGATAGATAGATAGATAGATAGATAATGAACATATTTAGATAGATAGAAACAAGCAAACAAACGGAAATATATATAGATAGATAGAAACAAGTAAAACAAACGGAAATATAGATAGATAGATAGATAGATAGATAGATAGATAGATAGATAATGAACAGACTGAGATAGATAGATAGATAGATAGATAGATAGATAGATAGATAGATAGATAGATAGATAGATAGATAGATAGATGGTCTTTTTTTAAATACATCTATCCGATACTCATCAGTTATATTTTAGCCGAGAATGATTAGTGGTTTCGTGTCTTATAACTTTATACCTCTTCACCTCAGTGAACCAGTCGTTACTGATCAAATATCAAATTGTATGCCAGTCGCCACCCACAAGACGAAATGACATCAAAGCTTTAATGGGAGCAGCAGCAGTAGAAAAGGGAGGCCTAGATGAATGCAATCAAACGTGAGAAGAAGCTGAAGCAGTACTCAGCAGTAGGTAGATTTTTTAAGGCTCCAAAGTCTTTTATTGGATCAAAGCATCTACTCGGGTAGTGCGTACACCCTTGTGCAAATTAATTGAAACAAAACGAATAATTCCATTATTATTTACTTTTTTCGTATTTTTCCAATGAAACATAACCCAGTGTACATGTTAGTACTTCATGTGTCCATTCCTCTAAGTCGTTCGTTGCATATTGACCACAGATTCTCGAGTGGATTTAAATCAGGAAAGTCTCCGCGCCAGTCTATAGTACGTTGATTTGCCCACTGGTAATTCCAGCCAGCTTGTTTGTGCAGCGTTATAATTTTCGTACACTTCCTTGTAGTAACGCCCATCGCAGACAATGGCTGTAGGACAACTAATCAACAGTCGAGATAATAGTGTCTCGGTTGATAAAAATCTGATGCAATCACGGATGACGGAATATTTTTCAAATTTCATCATAGACCCCGAAAATAGATTCATCTTACTAAAAACCACTGCAAATGGCCTAATCTGAGGAAAAAATAGAAATCGATTACACCCTGTCGCTCCAGTGGGTCTAAAACTGACCATATGTTGAAAGAAAGGAAACTAAAGCGGTTGTTTTAATTAATTTTCACAAGTGTCTACATAGACTCATTGGAAACAGGGCGAGCAATAACTGATCAGTATTTAATAAGAAAGAGACTAGAGAGCCCTTCACAACGAAAGTGGAATGAGAACAGTCTAACACCGTAGCATAAATAAAAATGTTCAGACAAGCACCTGATGAAGAGCGGAGAGCACGACAGTAGAAACGTTGTGATAACATCAACGAAGATGACGACAATATATATATATATATATATATATATATATATATATATATATATATATATATATATATATATATATATACAAAAAAGTAGATTAGTAAAGTTAATATAATTAACCTTACTAATCTACTTTTTGTATGAATGATCCATGTAATATAAATTGAACTGCACCACATATTTGATTTAAAAAAGAACTGATCCGACGTGCAAATTTTTGGAATAACAGCTGCGAAATTACTCTATTTATTGAACAATTTAGTTCATACCACATTGACTGAAAAACTCCTACAACAAAAAAATTCTCAAATTACCATATTAGTAAAAAAAATGCACTCTCGTAAATTTTCAAAATATCAACCTTAGCGTTGCGACTGCACGCTCAAAAATTTCTTATCCGTTAACAATAACAAAAAAATATATATATTTCGATTCGCATTTAATCTTTCGTGTCCCGCTACTACCTGGATTTACTAAAAAAAACAAATTAATTTCCATGTCTGTGGATGGATGTATGTACAGCTGAAAGTACTAGCAGATTAAAAAAAGACTTTATACAACTTGAAGTTATTAAAAACAAGGATCATAACATTCATCGAGTGGTTCGTAGGTTAATGTAACTTTAATAAATTTGTTTGCAAAGATGTTTTTCGCCATTTATATCATTAACTTTACTAATCTACATTTTGTATAAATGATTCATGTAATATAAATTGAACTGCAACACATATTTGATATATATATATATTTATATATATATACTCCGCGTTTAAATGATAATGCATTCTTAAAGGCATTTTAATTCTCAGAATCAACACTTCTTCGACACGCAAGTAATAACACGTTGCATCAAAATATGAAAAAACTACTTAAATTCTAAATCATCAGAAAAATGCAATCATTATATGAACTTTGAAGTTCCCTATTTCTTTTAGCTTTCTTTCTTTCTTTGATGAAGACTGAAACCAGTTCTTCCGTGGATTACCAAGAAGTAATGTCAATTTTGAGTAATTCTACTACACGTTTAAAATGAAGACACCGAAAGTAATACGTCAGAAAGAAAAGCGATGGTTGAATTGTTGCCATCTTATATTTTCAATATCGCAGAGCTTAGTAGGATGAGTTGGTCACCATCTGTGAGAAAAAGAGCACTATGTCACAACTCACTCCGGAATTTGGAAAAGGCATGCTGTACTGCTTGGCATTCGTACCGGACGTTCCAATACGAACATTTCAGAGTGCTTAGTTGTCAATCGGAGGACAGTGAAGAGGATTCGGAAAGAGTTGGAGGAGTCTAATGGTGACTACGAAGGTGTTTGGAATGATTACTAGTGATAGCGACGGTATGCTTCCATTCATCTTCCCACGGGGCCTGAGACTCAACACGGAGGCCTGCACCAAAGACCTTGTGAAGGTAGTGTTTACCTGGGTCAAGAGGGTGGCTGCTCGAAGACCCTGTGTCTGGCAATAGGACTCTTCACCATGCCACACAATCAGAAGAACCTAGTCATGGCTGTCAGACAATTTCTGCGACCATATAACCCCTTAGATATGGCCACCTAACCCCCTTAAACTGCAACTCCCCTGATTATTGTGTATGGGGCGCAGTTCAGCAAGATGAACTGAAGGCAAGGATTATAGCGGTTTTCTAAGCCCGGCTTAGATGTGGCACAAGGCCGAAAGTATGGGGCACCCAGTGAGGATCGAACTCACTACTCAGTTGTAATTGATCTAGCAAGACAAGCTTTCTAACCATTACACCACGTCAAGGTACCCACATAGTGATTTTCCAAGCGTAGCTTGGATGTGGCACAAGGCCGTAATAAGAGGCACCCAGTGAGGATCGAAATCACTACTCAGTCGTAATTGTTCTAGCGAGACAAGCTTGCTAACCATTACGCCACCTCGAGGTGCCCAAGGCAAGAATTACAGAAGCATTCACCAACTTAAACAAGGAGACTGTTCAGAAGAGTTGCAAGAGATTGCGAAGTCATCTGGAGGCTGTGACTGAAGCCAATGGTGATTTTATTGAATAAATTTACTCTTCAGTATTTCAAAATGTTTAATGCAATTTTGGTAAATATATATGTTAAAATGAGATGTTAGTGCTATTTTCATATTGATATTTATTGTATAAAAATACAGTTAAGTCACAAGGCCGCTGATATTTTCATATTTACGTAATTTCGACGACAATTTCTCCATCGCGTCCTGTACGAAGTTCTTTGAGCGGCTAAGGAAGAATTCATCACAAAATGTTAATATCTGATTATGTTTCTTAGAGATTGTTCAGTGAATAAATCCAAGCTCATTGCCGTTTTCCCTCGGGTAAAAACGAAAAGAAACCCGTTAAAATAAATAATAATTATATATATATATATATATATATATTTCATAGATTTTTTTCAGTATGCAAGTAAGTTTTACGTCTTCAGGTTTTCCTTCTCTTTCTGTTTCCTTTTGCTGGAAGAGTAACATTAACTGACTTTTTATTTTGTTTCTTCTCTCTTTAATAATAATATTATTACCCTTTTTTTTTTCTTTTTGGGTTTTTTCAGAAAAATGTCCCATCCTGGAAATGTCGAGAGACTGTCAGTTTGCAGACATGCTGAATATTCCTTTAAATGGACGAAAAAGAGACCTGTGCAATCGACATGAAATGTGTTATCACTGTGTAAGTTGAATCGAAATCTGTTTTTTTTTGGGGGGGGTATTTATATCACATTTTTAAAAACTTATCTTCTACGTGGAAGCGTTGGTAGTGTAACGGAAATTGGCTCGTAAAATTAAATTTAGTTTTTCTATCTTCCGGCTAAGTTGTTTCATGTTAGAATTAACTTTCCAAAGTTCATTTATTGTATCCATCTGTGTATTTTCGGCTCTCACTAGAGATCGTTATCAAGAATTACGTGTTATTAGCTTAGCATATTATTAGGTATGCGTGTTTAACAAATTCCGACATTTCTTAGCGTGTTGGAACCAATTTAAGTTACTTAAAGATGGCGTTATCTACAACGGTCAAACTGAATTTATATGTGCATTGTTTATACACACTTCAATATACGACCTCCGGTTAATTTGCAGTATAAGCACTAAAAGCCCATGGTAATGAAAATGTTCTATTATGGTGTAAAATTGTCTGATTATTTCGAAAATGATATTAAAAGTTTGCGTTTTATTACCGTTTAAGAGTTATGGACAATGCAAGTTCGATCTCTTTCGCGTCGTGTCGACAGAACGGCCGCCATTAATGGCTTTGTCTAGATACGTTTGCCTCAAGTAGTCATGCGGCTCGGAAGCTTCACTTGTGCTGATAACTACGCAATGCGCGAAGTTTAAAATGAATGCGCGATTCCAAAAATATAGACGTGCCTGGAAGGATAAAAAAAATGTTTTCCTTTTTTCTCAATGATGAGTTTTGTTTTTAAATTGTGTCGTGAAAATTTTCCTTAAAATCCAACATTTGAAATTAAATATAAATTACGTAACTGAAAGGTAAAAAAAAATGTTTCCCTTTTTATCAACGATTTTTTTCTTCTTTTTTTGGTGAGGAAAAAGGATTCACCCATGACATTATATTTATTTAGAAATGCTTTCAATTGTCTCTATAACAAATTTAAACCAATTAAAAATGAATTCATTATTTAATAAAGTTTTACTTTTACAAAGAAACAATACCTTTAAAAAAAGGAATTCATACCAAATTTAAAAAATTGATATACGGCTAAACTAAAATAACCAAAAAACTTCTCACTGCATCATGCATATTTGACTGCGCTGCGTGTGCTTCGTATACCCTTATTAGACTGGGTGTCATGACGGGTACATTGGGCTTGGTTTATTTGTACTCTAACGTCATTTTGTTGGTGTTCTGCTCTCACACTCAGTAATAATGGGTAAACAAAATATCACCATGATGATAAAATAAAATAAAGTGGCCGATGTAAAGTTGACGGGCTACTTGACAACAGAAAATGGCTATCGGCCACTCTCAGCGGTTTGCTAATGAATAATCACTTCCGAACCTTCCCAGTTGAATCTCGAAGTTTGCCTAAATAGTTGCCACGCGACAGTAAAAAGGTTAAAAAAAAAAAAGATATGTCCACACGGCAAAGAGGTCTTGTCCATTTCGCTGTGTGTTTGTGGCCGAGTTTCCATTCGAAAAATATGGCCTGAAGTCGTTTAATTGATTCGAGCTATTAACGATAATTGCAGGTTTAAGTACAGAAAGATCGGAAAATCTGATAGCGAGGATGTGCGCATGCGCAAAACTAAAAACAAAGTAGGGAAGCAAAACAAAATCAAGATAGTTATTTGATATTGTGCATGTATGTGTTTACGTGTGCGTGTGTGTGTACGTTTACGTGTATGTGCTTGCTTTTACGAGTGTATACCCGCTCGTGTTTGTATGTATGAGCGCTTTTTTTGTGGGGTAATAAAGAAATCGATTCGAAAGTAAATCTCATGTAAGAAGGGGGTGCTGAAAAGCTAATGTATGAGGAGCGGACAAAACACTTCCCAAAATCTGACTGAATAACCAAACATCAGGATTATTGTTTTAATCAATGGGTCGAGCTGAGAAAACTCCTCCCACTCTGTACTTATCAAAAACAAGAGACAAGGGAGCAGGAAGATTCTTCTTGTGACAATATATATATATATATATATATATATATATATATATATATATATATATATATATATATATATTCAAATGTAACGCGAACGAAATGAATATGTGGTGTGCTGCTCAGATTTGTTTTAGAATTGTTAATGAGATTGTTAGTGAGGCTGCGTTTTTAGTAAGAGCACATACATTTAAATTTGCAAAAAACACAAGGAAAGAAGAACAAAAGATCAAATTGCATTCAACAATAAAATATATATTGAAAATCAACGAGTACAACAATTGTGCTTATGTGTTAATATTTAGGGAGAGAAAAGTAGCTTCCCTTGCACTGATATCTGATCAAAGATAGGAATAATGTATTTAAGAACTTTCTTGTTGAAATGTTCAGAGTTCAGTGAATAAGATTTGAATTCAAGAATGAAAAGTTTGTACAAAAAGGATAATAGAATTTGGTTTGTGACTTGGCTTGTGACAGACAGTTAACAGTGTAGTGTAATGGTAGTTCTATGTCTGTGTGTGCGTGGATAGAAGAATGTAGATACTGAGTTCTGCTGATTTATTGTTCTACTAACTTATTTCTGGAATACGAACTGTTTAAATACTTTTTGGGTAGGCTCCAGAGAGAAGCGGGAAAAATATCAAAAGGAATATCTCAAATACACGATTGGATAAAAATTGAACAATCACGGATTTTCTTACAAAACCAAGTTGGGCAAAGTCATGACAGAAAATTTTGTGTGGTTACTGCGATAGGTAAATTGTCCTCTAGTAAACAGTACTTATTTTCTATCCAATTTTCACTGAGTATTTTGTGAGCGTGGTAAATCGGAGTAGTCACTACAAATATAATTTTAAACGTTCATAGTGTTAATTTAAAAGAGGGCTCAGTACCAAGAGTAGAGCAATTGTCATTTATTATAAAGATGTTACATACGAACAAACACGTACTCACGACAAAGATGCATTTTTGTTTCGATGCGAATGCATCTCGACATGTGAGGAACAAAGATGGTTATAAATGATTCTATTTAAAAATGCTACTTATGAAACATCACTTTCTTTTTTTCATTATTCATTTTTTTAAAGACATAAGGAGAAACACCATAAAAGGAAAAAATAAATAAAGGGTTTCCATAAAAGGAAAAGAAAATAATAATAATAATAATAAGAATAAGAAGAAGAAGAAGAAGAAGAAGAAGCAGAAGGAAACAGGTAAAAGGAAAGAGGATAAGAAGACAATAAAATGAAAAATGGGGAAGAAGAAAGAGAAATATAAGGTTTAAGAGAAATTAAAAGGCAACACGTCATAAACTCCAAAGAAAAAGAAGAGAAAAAGAATAGAAGAGAAGAGAAAAATGAAAAGGAGAAAGATTTACATGAATACGAAAAAACGGAAAAAAGGAGAAAGAAAAAAGAAAGAAAGAAAAATATGTGTTGTTGATAACAATTCAGCCAATGAAAGAAAGTTAACATTAAGATAAAGAATTATTTTAAGACATTTTTTATATTTATACGTTCTTTTTATAGTTACAAATATTTAAGTAAATGCTCTATTTATAATAAACAGTATTAACAACATTTACTGGCCTGAATGTCCGAGAAATTTTCATAGAAAATATGCATCCTCCGACAGGAATCGAACCTGTATCCTATATGGAACCGTCATATAGCCTGACGTGCTTTTCTATGAAAGTTTCTCGGGCATTCAGGCTGGTAAATGTTGTTTAATACTGTTAGTAAGATACCCTTCTTAACACAAATGAACTAGACAAGACGCCTTACATAAAGAACTCAAAGTGAATCAAGGAAAGTCAGTTGCACCCGAGTCAGGCAGAGAGGAACCCAGATTAGGCTATAGCTACGGGAAGAGTCTCGTCTGAGGAGGTAGACAAACCGACCCGGTATATGCGGGGACAACAGGGAAATTTTGCTTGAGCCTACGGGCCCGGCTACGCCCACATAAAAATCGGCCTTGTGCCACATCCTGCCTTGTGGGTAGGTTGGTAAGTACCAGGCAGTCCGCTGTCTGGCTCTGGTTCTGATTCGCTATTGCCAAGTTCTCTGTCTTCGGGAAGAGGGCAACTCAATTGAGTCTCTGACTACTGACGGAGACGCGGTTAAGAAAAACAAAGTGCCCGATCCTGCGGGTGCTGGGTAAATTTTGACTTTTGGCCTGGGTGTATGCACTCGGGTTCCCCACAATAAACTCGACCTTGTGTCACATCACGTCTCAGTGTGGGGGGGGGTGATTGGCTAAATACCAGTCCGGTGGAGTCAGTCGAGGAGAATTTCTTAACTCCTATTAATATCGGAAAGAGCGATAACAGAAACTTGAGAAACCTATCTTTCTGAAATATTGTTTTAAGTGAAATATTTTATAAAATGCAACAGACAATCGTACTGGTTACTTGGTCAGTATCGAATGTTTCCTTATAAGGAAATGGCTAATATTACCATTACCATTTGTTTTATGCAACAATTGGTAATCTTTTTTTTTTTTTTTTTCACTCTTTCAGCGTTAATATGATTTTCTTTTCAGCCTTATGCATTATAGTTATATAGTGATTGGTTAGGGTCAATGGTAAGGGTTTATTTTAAAATAAGGTTTATTTTAAAATAAGGTTTATGTGTTAGGATTCGAGGTGAGGGCTAATGGTTAGAGGTTAATCTTAAATTAATCCTTATAGATTAGGGTAAGTGTTAGCGGTTAGTATAAAGGCTTAGGGGTATAGGTTATAGTTTGGAGTGAGTTTTGTGATTAATATTGAGTATTTACTCTTTGTCTAACAAATACAAACATGCAAAAATCAGATCATTAATATCAGGGTGAGACTGAATACAGTTACTCCACATTGGTAATTAGTCAAACTGAACCAGAAATCACTAAATTCTGTTCAAATGACCAAACATAATTATTTTTAATTTTTGGGAAGAGCTTCTTAGTTGTACTGAGAACTTTTCATCACGCTCTCGTAATTATTTTTTTTTTTTAATTCAGAGTTAATTACAAATGAGATCCAATGACTGCGTTCAAATTTTTATTTTAGAAAAAAAAAATTCAGCTTTTTATTTATTTATTTATTTTATATTATTTTTTTTTTTTTTTTTTTTTTTTTCTCTCTTTTATTTTTAATGGACAGATGTTTGAAAGAAGAATACAAGAGATTAGGTCATTCATTGAAAAGCGATTTGTCGCCATACAATTAGTGAAATATCATTAAGCTCGGCTTACATTTCTGCTGGCAGCCATGTGAATTGGACGAGATTTCGACGAGATTTGCAATCGTCGTCAACGATATGAAAGAAAAATAATCAATTTCGAAATTTCTATTTTAAAAGACAAACACTGGTGTTGCCAAAATAATTTATTCTATAAACTCAGTCAACGGTTGTAACATTTTGGGCATCATACTGAAATTCGTAGGCGCATTAAGATAGCCAAAGATGCTTTCCAAAAACAGAGTATAAAAAAAAAAAAAACAGAAAAAATTCGTTAGAAAAAAAAGAAAAGAAAAAAAGTGTATTGTTACGTAATACCAGTCCTCTTATATGGCAGTGATGGCTGGACAATCTTATCAAAGATTAAGAAAAGACTTGAAGCAACAGAAATGTGATTCTACAGAAGGGTACTGAAAATACCAAAGACAGAACATGTGATCAACGAGGAAGTTTTAGAGAAAATGGAAACAAAAAAGAAACATATACTTAACATCAGGAAGAGACACTTGAAGTTTCTAGTGCATATAATGAGGAAAAGGAGCTTGGAAACTTTGATACTCACAGGAGAGATAGAGAGTAAGAAAAAAGCTTGAGTAAATGAATGGCGGTACAAGATTTAGGACGGGTAACAATAATACATTCATTAAAAGTTACAAGAGATTCACAGGACAATTTGAAGGCAAGAGGGACAAAGGAAGACAACATATAACCTACATAGCGAGGTTGATTATATCTTGTTATATATTTAGAGATGCTTGATAAAAGCCAAAGAAAAATCTGCAATATTATTGGTCCTGATCTGGGGGATCGGCTTCAGTCACTTTTCCAACGCCGTAAAGTTGCTTCGCTCTGCCTTTTCTATAAATACTTTTGTGCGAACCTATTACGCACGAACATATACATACAAACACAAAATCACATGTACAATGCCAAACGATCATTGGCTAATAAATCACTAATACATTTTCTACAAGCAATTTACAAATCGCAGTAATGCGCAATTTTGGAATCGCTTTATTTTTAAGTAGTCAAATTTGTGCACTTTTGAGAGAAATGGCTTACAGAAGCTTCCTTATGTCTCCACAAAGCTCGCACTCTGATTGGTTGATGCCAATTTTTTTACTACGTTAATAAAACATCAAAAAACGAAAAGAATAAATAATGCAAAATGAAAATGAAAAACAAGTAAAATAAATTAACCCAAACAAATAAATAAACAAGCCACTCCCGCAAAAATAACCGCCAGAATAAATTACCCACAATGCACCACTGACCCATATATATAAATATGTTTTATATATCCAAGCGCTTCCGGCTATACTTTTAGCCATTTTCAAGAATGAATTTCATTTTACTTTTTAGCTGAATATATGGATAGTTTTATGTATGTATCTAGAGTTATAGGAATATTTTATTTTCAAAACATGGTCAGTACAATGTGGCCTTGTTCATAGTTGATATTATTGAGTGTTGGCTTTTTCTTTTTTTCTTATTAATAATGATTCTGCTATTTTTAGCTTTTTTGTATGTGCTTAATATAAGAAAACTATTTTTTTTAATTGTTCATTGATTCATTTTATACGGTTTATCTACCCATTGCATGTTATTTAAAGCAAGAAAACATTTTTTTTAAATTGTTAACATTTTTTGGTGATAATAGCTGGGGAGAAGAACGGGTGGATTTATGTATAAATGAATATAATGAACCCAATAGGAATTTTCTCTCTGATTAACAATTCCGAGCCATTACCCATGACATCACCCGCATAACCAAGATTACAGTATCTGGTATTTTCTATCTAGATCAAGCTCGATATTGCTATGGGTTAAATAGCAGGATAGCCTAGCCCTACAGTCTTAGTTGGCAACCAGTCTATTGCAAAAACTAACAACCGCCTACTGCGGGAATTCCTCATCCAATCCAATCAGGGCTCAATTCTCGGCCTGATCTTCAGGTACAGAATAGGACAAGGAGTCAGGTACTTACTGGAACTGTACAGGGAGCCGATCATCCCTACACGCAAGCCGCTAATGGCCCGCTGGCGGTCCGCCGATGGCAACGCTAGCGGTCCTCTGCTGGCAGCCACTGGTGGGCTACCCGCTAGTGGTAACATTGCCGAGAGGAACACGCCGTCGGTCCGACAAACAGCAAACTACCAGCGGTAAACGCTAATGGCATGCCATCCAATGGCAGATTGGTGGCTTGCGTGTTCGGATTTTGCCTGCTTTTTTTTTTTTTTTTTTTTTTTTTAGAGATGGATCATATGTAGCAGTTTCGCTTGAAGTCTAGGTTGATTTTGTCAACCCCTTAACAAACTCAAGGTACGGGGCCTCCCCAATAGGTGAAAACAGGGGATGGAGGCATACCACCTCGCTGACGACGGACAACTTACGGCAGACTGTGTTTGACACAAGATGATTCTTTAATCTTGTTAAACACAAAGTTGGGATCTGTTTTTTTTTCTTTAGGTATTAAAATGAGAAACGGCAAATTACTAAATTTTAATAAAAGTAAAAATAAGATTTTTTTTTTCAAAAAAGAATCGCATGAGAAAATAATGATTAGAAATAAACGTGAACATTTAATGGCTTTCCTATTTAAATTTTCTGATGAATCTTAACTTTGGCATAAAAATTCACCTGCTCAGTTACACCTGTGCGTCTGCAAAAACCACAGAGTCGACCTGTTGTTCATAATGCAACTATACTGAGCAGACTTCAGTTAAAGATTCTGGTCAAGAGTACATAATCTGCTATATGACCAACTATTGAATAAAGTTAATACATTCAAACACTCAGTTGCAAAGACTTGAAACTTTGTCTTAGTACAACCATAAAAATCATCTGAATGAACACACACACACACACACACACACACACACACACACACACACACATATATATATATATATATATTATGTGTATATATAAATTTTTAAGATATATCTTTTAAGAATAGTGCTTTTGGTTATTGGGATTTTATTCTGTCTATACCAATCCTATACTTATATATTAGGTTGGTGCAAAAATAATGACCTAATAATGTCGTTTTTTAACGTATTTTTTTTTAACGTCAAAAAACGACATTATTACGTCATTATTTTTGCACCAACCTAATATATGGCGAGTTCTATGACGATAACGTGTGTAGAAATTTCCCTGTTACATCGTTCAATATGTGAGCTTAACAACTTTAACAAAATATTGCAATAACAATCATAAATATGAATGCTGATCGTTATTTTAAGAAGTGGGTACAAATGAAAGGATTTAAAATTGACAACTTTATCCATTTCACTAAAACAGCCTTAAAACACTTCTTTCTTCCCATCTTTCTTTCTTTAATTCATTTTCCCTTTGAAACCAAGTAGTGTCTTTTCTCCTCTTTCTGTGAATCCATTAATTATGAGGTATTGACAAGGCGTAACGGTCGTGCAAACTAACAAAGGGATGGACAAGCACAATTATAATAGGATACATTTATTTTTTTAAAATTTTATTTAGGTTTTACATGATTGGTTTTCAAATATATCCATAACAGACAGCAGATAATGTTTGGCTGCTTGGGTGGAGTAATGGTTCGGCAAGTTGAATTCATCTTTCAGCCTAGACTGTTGCATTCCCTTTCACACAAACGTCCAAGAAATACTGTGAAAAATTCCTATTTAAATTTTCTGATGAATCTTAATTCTTAAGTTAATGATTGAATAAACTAGTTCTCCGGCAATAGAAATTCCCCTATCGCATCGTTAAATATTTGAGCTGAACAACAAAATATTTCAATATCAATCATTCATATGAATGCGCGCCTGTATTTAAAGAAGTAAGGGGGTACAAATGAAAAAAAATTGAAATTAACATTTTTTAAATTTCACTGTAATTGATGTTAAACACTTCTATCTTTCCTTCTTTCTTTCTTCCTTTTATTTTCTTAATGAAACCAAGTAGCGTCACTGGTATGTCTTTTCCGTCTTTCCAACCGATCAGAACAGAATAGTCCATTATTTATGAGATATTGACAGGAGACGTTAAACCATTTCTTCTTTCTTTCTTTCTTTCTTTCTTTTTCTCACTGAAAAAAGTAGCGTCACTGATATGTCTTTTCCGTCTTTCCAAGCGCTCTAAACAGAATATCCCATTATTTATGAAATATTAACAGGAGATAGTAAACACTTTCTTTCTTTCTTTCTTTCTTTCTTTCTCACTGAAAGCAAGTAGCGTCACTGATATGTCTTTTCCGTCTTTCCAAGCGCTCTAAACAGAATAGCCCATTATTTATTAGATGTTAACAGGAAGCGTTAAATACTTTGTTCTCTCTCTCTTTCTCTCTCTCTCTCTCTCTCTCTCTCTCTCTCTTTCTTTCTTTTTCTTACTGAAGGCAAGTAGCGTCTTTGATATGACTTTTCTGTCGTTCCAGGCAATCAAAACTGAATAGTTCATTATTTATGAGGTATTGGCAAGGCGTAACGGCCGTGCTAACTCAGGGATGAACACATAGAATTATAATATTTGTTTTATTTCTTTTCAGGGTACCACCATTGGCCTTGGAGCATCCATCTGTGACCGAGGTTTTCTGGCCGACTCTATTAAGGAGTGCAATGGAAATTTGAATTGTATACACCTTGCTGACATCTTCCTCCGCCTCATGCGTGTGACCCACAACTTTAACACCATGCCCAACAATGTCTGCAATGTGGCCTGCGTTCGCGACTACGTCATCGGCTTGTGAGATGAAGCTTCTCAAGCCTTAAGATAGTTCTCGGCATGGCTAGGGTTAGGGTTAGTGTTGGGGTTAAGATTAAGGCACTAAGCTTATCGTCACTTAGAATCCCACCTACCTGGGGACCGACATAATCCAATCCCACCCACCCGGGGACCTACATCTTCCAATCCCAATTACCCGGGGACCGACATGATCCAATCACACCGACCTGGGGACCGACATAATCCAATACCATCCACATAGGGACTGACAAAATCCAATCGCAATCCCATCCTCCTACAGACAGACATAATCCAATCCCACCCAACTGGGACCAGCATAGATCAATTCTACCGGCCTGGGGACCACTATAATCCAATCCCATCAACCTGGGGACCACTATAATTCAATCCCATCGACCTGGGGACCTAAATAATCCAATCCCATCGACCTGAGGGGGACCTAAATAATCCAATCCCATCGACCTGAGGGGGACCTACATAATCCAATCCCATCGACCTGAGGGGGACCTACATAATCCAATCCCATCGACCTGAGGGGACCTACATAATCTAATCCCGCCCATCTGGCACCGGCATAATCCAATTCCACCCATCTAGAGGCTGACAATTCTCCAAGAATACACAATCAGGACGAAAACAAAAATAACAATAATAAAATTAATAATGATAATAATAATTAATACGAAAGGCCAAAAAACTGGAACAAGAAAAAAAATTACATTTTGA